ACATGTTATGAAATGCACTGAACGACACAAGCGATATGTATACATTATGCTATATACACACACCTGATAACATGTCGATGGTCCAGAGAGAGAGGTAGACGAAGAGAAGCTTACAGTCGCTTTCACTTAAAATAATTTATCTTCTATGGAAAAAATGAAATGAGCCGTAAGGAATATGAACACAAATATAATCATGTACATATACATAGACGTGTATATGACCGACAGACTCTAAACGTGGTTGAAATACAAATAGCCTCTGATTATAGAATAATTGTTTGATACCAAAATTACGAAAGATAGAGTTCCATGAGTGGCCACTACCCCTCCGGGTCCAACAGAGACGTGTGTTTCAATACATAGTGAACAATTAATATAATGACCAAGACGGGGCGTTGTTTGGCAAAATTAGACAATTGTTCTCACACACTCGCTATTTTATAAGTTGCATTTACATAAGTAACTGTACGAGGAGCGACTCATGGGTCGAACATTTAGGCATATATCTTATATATTCTGGCACATAAAAAACCTGATATAGTGATCCATATAAGATTTACGATACTGAGATCCTCCGAGGCCAAGAGGTTTACACTGTGTGTTGTCCTGGTCACAGAAATCTGCGAGACGTACCAACTAGTCACCACACTCTTCAATTAAGTGTTGGAAGAGTTCGGAGAATGATGGTATCATCTTCAGCCTGATGCTCCATGATCGCATTATTTTTAGTTTTATATCCCAATTTGGCGTCATCTTCAAGTTCGATGTTTGCTGATGGCTTTCATCGTTGTCGTTGCGTTCTGATGCTAACCTGTATAAGTTTGATGCCTAATTATGACATCATTATTGAGCTCGATGCCTCGTGATAGTATCATCATTGAACTCGATGCCTCGTGATGGCATCATCATCAGGTTCGATGCCTCGTGATGGCATCATCATCATCGACTTCGATACCTCCTCAGAGCCTAATCGAGTTCCATGTCTCGTGATGGCATCATCATCAAATTCGATGCCTCCTGATGTTATCACCACCAAGTTCGATGCCTCGTGATGGCCTCATCAAGTTCGATGCCTCGTGATGGCCTCATCAAGTTCGATGCCTCGTGATGGCCTCATCAAGTTCGATGCCTCGTGATGGCCTCATCAAGTTCGATGCCTCGTGATGGCCTCATCAAGTTCGATGCCTCGTGATGGCCTCATCAAGTTCGATGCCTCCTGATGTCATCTACGGGTTCGCCGTAGTCTGGAATAATTTAATAGCATCATTATTGTACTACTCGTTTTTTACTTTTATGCCAATGACATAAAACTTATAGTTCTGAATATTTAAGCTTTGCTTTTGGGTAGTATATATATGCTGCCTAATTTTGACTGCAATGAAGCTGATTAAACCATTGGCAATTACGCATTTTTTTTTTTTTTTTTTGCCATTCGCTGCATATTTGCGTCCGTGGAAGAGCACTTGCGTCGTGTACTTGTGACTGTCGTTGTGCACTGGTGTTTGTCGTTGTGTACTGTTGTCTGACGTTGTGCACTTTGTCGTTGTGGACTGTTGTCTGTCGTTGTGTCTGCCATTGTTCACTGGTGTCTGTCTATGTTCGCTGGTGTCTGTCGAGTACTGATGTCTATCATTATGTACTGGTGTCTGTCGCTGTGTACTGGCGTCTGTTGCTGTCTACTGGTATCCGTCGTTGTATTCCGGTGTCCAACACTGTACGGAGATGTCAGTCACTGCTGGTTGTCAACACCAGTTCTAGTGCAGAACACTAGTTCCTCTCCACAGCTGTCCATGATGCTAACTGAAACACACACTTGTCACAGCGGCACAATGGCGTTCTTGTAGCATGCTGTATGCTATTTAAGACATATGAATGTGTCGCCAGGATTGGCGTAAGTTGCTCTCCATGGTAGTACAATATTGATCCAACCTCTGTTCACTTGTCGCTCCAAACCAGCTTTTGTGAGGAATTTAAAGTAGGTAAAATTATGTAGTGCTAGACTTGGGACCTCTCTTATCCTATATTGCTGTTACTGACAAACTTTGGCATTTGGAACCTCTCGTTATCTCTCTTACTGACAAATTAGCACTTGGGACCTCTCGTTATCTATCTTGCTGACAAACTTTAGCCCTTGAGACCTCTCGTTATCTGTGTTATTGACAAACTTTAGCGCTTGGGACCTCTCGTCACCTGACTTGTGAATGTCGCATGACACCTCAGACATTTGTGAGCTTCATAAGAATAAACACGCTATTCAGATTCAAGTGCTAAGTCATAGTGGGTGAAAAGATGTGTTGGAAGGCGAGTTGGGGACGAGACCTTGTCATTAAAACATAAGAATTCATGTGTTCGCAAAACACATTCGGCAAGATTGCTGCTTGCTCCCCGATTTTGTTCGGCAGTGTTCTGTGTATTTCATTTGAATAAAGCCCTTTTCCATCTCGGTTGGTCTTGCTAGGCTGTAGCTGTAGTTTACATATGTTTGCTTTCATTTTATGTACCTTGGATTTTTAAACTGTGGTTAACCATACTACTCGCCCAAATCTTTACACGTAACGAATCATTTATACTAGAGCTCTTGGGATGCTTCAGCAACGTTAATATTAGGAGCGTTTTCTAACGTTTAATCCTTCTTTAGGAGCCTGTTACAAGAATGCTAAGAGATTTTCGCATGATGAGAATAATAATACAAAGGGGTCTTCCTGGGAAATTGAAAATAATAAATCTACAGAAGCAGCACCAATGAACGGGTCATCATATGATAATAAATACCAGAGTCCGGTGATTTGCTCCTGAGGAATATACGGATCAGATGTCCACAGTGACATCTGATCCTTTACATTTGCACAATGATTATGTGCGAAATATACTAACAAGGAGTCGAACCAGGCCCTCTGGGATTACCAACCCGTTACCTTAGCCCAGCCACTGAGAGGGTTATAAAGCTCCCGACATGCATATGCTGCATGTCAATAGTAATTTCATGAAAAATGTTAAGGATTTCTCCCTTTGAGAATTTTACTTTTAAGAATATGTAGGGGTCGGGTTCAGAGCACACAGCTCTTACGATGAAGGTAAGGAATTGATGCTATGGACGTACAGTATACGGTAGAATCATGTTAACTCCCTTCGCTACTGGTGAAGCTCTGACTGGGAACATTAACAGTATATCCGCGGGTCAGTAAAAAAGAAAGCCATAAACTGACAGGGATTGACAGGAGAGTTTTAATCACGCAGTCATCAATCACAGCTTTACACCTGCAACTTTTTTTAAGTGGCCTTTATCCCAGAACAGATGACTCTCATTGTTTCTCGAAGTCAAACATTTACATAAGAAAAGCCGATATTTTCACCCACATTCCAGTGTACTCTTATGTTGTACAGTTCACTGTGGCTGAATTGAATCGGATATAACTCTCTCTCTCTCTCTCTCTCTCTCACACACACACACACTTTACCAGGGGTTAGCCAAAAATCGCCAAAGTTTCTCGGGAAATTTAGTGGGGAAAAAATAATACGTGAAGACAATGTTTGAAGGGAAAATATGACCAAAGTATTCTGGAGTCAAAAGATATAATAAAATTTATATGGGAAAACTTCCAAAACAAAACAATGCGGGCAAACTGAACGTTGCAATTAGTCACAGTGATGACGATGTGTCTGCGATGATGACGTAGTGTTTACATTGATGACCCTGTGTCTACATTGATGACGCTGTGTCTACATTGATGACTTAGTGTCTGCATCACTGATAGTGCTTACATCAATGACGCATTGTCTTCATTGATGACGCAGTGCCAACATCAATGATAGTGCTTACATCAATGATGCAGTGCCAACATCAACGATAGAGCTTCAGTGAAGCAGCGTCTACATCAGTAGTAGTGCTTTCATCAATGACGCATTGTCTATATTGATGATGCAGTATCTACATCAGTGACGCAGTCTCTACATCAGTGACAGCGTCTACATTGATGACAGCGTCTGCACTGATGACAGCGTCTACACTGATGACAGTGCTCACATTGGTCCCGTCATCAGTTGGAGCTGATAACATGTTAACACCGTAAAGGAAGACTCAATCCCAAATGATCCATTTTCTAGCCTCCACAAACGTGTGGAATCTCAGCTGCGTTGATAATAACGCAATACACTTATATCAGTGGTATAAACCTTGGTAATAAATACCGACAAGTTGGTTTAGAAAGACACGTAAGCAAACACTATAACATATTTAAATATGTTATAGTGTTTGCTTACGTGTCTTTCTAAACCAACTTATATCAGTAAATTTAAAGTGTTTTCCGCTAACCTGTCTCATTTGGCACAGCTCATTTTCTTACGTTATTAATATCGTCGTTTTCTGAACGTTCGGTGTAATTAGAGAAATGTTCTTCATCTTTTTAGGTTATATTATGTACACTTGTAAAAAAAATATATTTAATTATAGATAAGGAAATTAAAAAGACGGTTGTAATATATTTGATAATTCCAGGCAACGTTCAAATCTTGGAAATTATTTTGGGAGAGAGGACAGGTTGACTGGCTAGTCAAGTCTTCGTTTACATCCTTTACAATTAAGATAAACAACTGTCAATGAATAAACAGAAGGATGGACGAGAAATACGAGCCGTGATCCTTAAATTGACGATCCGATGCTCTACTGTCGTGGCCACTTGGGCTTCTAATAGGAAGGAATCGAAACTAATACTGTGTTATATTCCAACAGAGACACCAACTGGTGTAACCCAACCGAAATCCTTCAGTTGGTGCCTCTGACGGAATATAATACAGTAAATATTTGTTCCGATTCCTTCCTATTAGAAACCCAGGTGGCCGAGACAGCAGAACGTTGGACTGTCAGTTTACGAACTGCGGTTCGCGCCCCCTCGTCATCCTTCTGTGTGTGTGTGAATATAATATATATATATATATATATATATAATATATATATATATATATATATATATATATATATATATATATATATATATATATATATATATATTTCCTCGTTTCTGTTGTTCTTAAAAATATTGCTTATTGACAGGTTTCAGAGTCCAGTAAGGTATTGAGAGATCCAGTATTTTCTTTCATGTAGCTTCAAAGAATGTTTGCTGGAACACACAACTAGACACACTCGCAGCTGCAATACTTAGGGCAGCGTCTCTTACAAACGTTGAAAAACTGTTTTGTATCAGTCAAAAAAAGTCGTTCAATACACATTCAGCCTTTCAAAACGTTTGGGGGCGACAAAAAATAAGTATAAAAATCAATGATTAGTGATGCAGTTTCTCAATGGGAAAGTTTCGCAAAATTTCCAATATTTCTCCGTGGATAGAATCAGGGATGCGAGGTATTGGAGGATGGGAGGCGGGGGGCAGCAGCCGGCTCTCATTGCAGCTTACCGACTCAGCAGGCTTTCTCTCACAATGATTAACCCTTCGTAAAGTTCAATATTTCCATAGCACTGTAAAGCTGTATCTCCAGATGGAAGCTTTTTAAGAAGGACGAGAAGACTTCATCACCGTGTTCCCTGTGGAGTTTAGTGGCCAGAAGTAAATATTTGTTGCCAAAATCATTTAGTCTGCTGGAATTTCAGCGGACTCTGTATTTTTTGTATGTAACTTTCACTTCACACCGATAACATAAACAGCGGCGTCAACAAATAATTGGCAGCATCAACAGCAAAATTATTCTCCAAAGTTTCCTTAAAATTGCGACTTACAGCAGCCATTGTGTTATAAGATGCATGGATCGTTGAGACAAGAAACTTGCTATCGTGTCCTAGAGTTGAGGTGTTGCGAGGGAGCGGGCCGCCCAATGGGCCAGTAGTGCGGCCAGGGTCAAGCTAGCGACGGAGGCTGCGGAAGCATGGCAGCAGGGGGCGCTGTCGTGGCCCAGAGAGCTGCCGTAGGTGGGTCGTCGCCCATGGTGTGTGTTGCTGCGGTGACCCGACTCTGTCAGGAGGAGAAGTGAGGAAGTTAACACAACATCCATCCTTCAAGAGGATGCATTCAGGATGGCGAAAGACTCTTGATCCAAGAAAGTGGAGCTACTCTCCCATTCCTTAGATTAAACCAGGTTTTCCCCAATGTTCCAGGCGCTGTATGTTCCCTACAGGAGGGTAGTACCTCCCTGGATGGTTGTTGTCTACCAGCCTACTAACACATGACAGGAGAGTAGTACCTTCCTGGATGGTTGTCTACCAGCCTACTACACATAACAGGAGGGTAGTACCTCCCTGGATGGCTGTTGTCTACCATCCTACTACACATGACAGGAGGATAGTACCTCTCTGGATGGTTGTCGTCTACCAACCTACTACACATGACAGAAGGGTAGTATCTCTCTGGATGGTTGTCTACCACCCTACTTGTCCAGCGCTTCACCAATAATAAAATAAACAGTAGAATGTCAAAAACACCCAGGAGCAGAGTAACCATGCCACACACTGCTACATCAATCATTGGTTCACATCACAATATGGAATCACAACACATACTCCTAGAGCAAACGTCTATTTCTCACATTATTATTAGGCTAAGTTAGGTCGTCTTTTATAACCAACGAATAACGAATTATAACATTCCAAAGAGATAATAAATTAAATAATACAAAGAGGTGAAAAAAAAATTTAAGAGGAAACGGAAAAAAAGGAGACGTAGAAACAATGTAATATGTCCATCTCTCAGAATAATTTTGAGGTGATCAGTCCCTCAGCCTGGAGAAGAGATCCGTTCTGTTGTCTGGAATGGAGTGATTATATCATCTGAACATCATTACTTTTCTTGCTTCCTCTGTATTCGACTGAAGAAGCCTACTGTGCAGGCGAAACGTTTTGGAATAAAGATAACCAACTGTTGCATATGTGTCTTATTATCAACATTATACCTATCTTTTAGGACCACGTCTTACTTATTTATCAAGACCACATCAGTACTGATAGTCAAGTCCGCACCATATATAATCAGAATCATTCCAGACCTGCTTACTAAGACCTACTATAGACCTGGCCAAGACCACATTAAACTTGATCATTAAGATCCTTTAGATCTGTTCATCAAAGCTGTAATGGACCTGATCATCAAGACTACACCAGACCCGGTCATCAAGGCTACATGAAACCTGGTTATCAAGATTACACTAGACCGATCAATAATATATACCAGGCCTAGTCATTAAGACTACACCAGTCCTGGTCATTAAGACTACACCAGATCTGGTCATTAAGACTACACCAACATTGTCACTAAGACTATACCAAACATGGTCATTAAGACTACACCAGACCTAATCAAAGTCACACCAGGCCTGATCGTCAAGCCCACCCCAGACCTAGTAATCAAGACTACACCAGCCGTTAAGAAAACACTAGACCTGTACGAGGGGACGACTCACCTTTGGAATCGTGGGTCTTGGTGTGCCGGTGCTGGTCAGTAAGGTCGTTGATTCCTTTCGGGTGAAGGTAATTCTCGTACTTCTTGCGTTCTGTAGGTTCAACAAAGGAGAGAAAAACTTGACTCACAAAACAAATACGAACATCTGTTCTGATTTTCTTAACCTGATTAAAAAGGAAAGTGGAAACCAAAAAAATGGACTGAAAATAATGAAAAAGAAAGAAAAAAAATAAATTTCGTTCTCAGAGACGCTTTTCAGCTGTAAAGATTTTTTTTGTCTGAAGACGAAATCAGATGTTTGTGACTGTTTCCCTTTGCGACCACTTTGATTACATGTGTTTACAAAGGAAGAATTCATCCAGGGTGAATTAATCAAGACTTAAAATTAAAATTACAACAGCCCTCGAAATATATATTAGTGTAGCCGAAAGCTACTAGAGATACATATATAATAATCTACTTTTAAAAAAATGGCAATAAAATATAACGAAGTTATTCGGGAAGTCGTTAAAAACTGATCCCCCTACAATATTCCTCGCAATAACACAAACTCTATTACACAGATTTATTGATATACTCTCCATGAGTTTCTTGAAGACGTTCAATAATATTCTTCGCAGAAGACTGACCATAATATACTAGTTCATAGAATTACGAGCAAAATACTAGATATTTTGGATGATTCAGATATTTATGGAGAAGTAACAACCGAAAAGACGCTTCTTGTATCAGAAAATGGTCTTCATTTTTCACAAATGGACAAAGACCGGGAAGCTGATGTTGCATAAGTGTTTCGGTAGAGCAATAATTCCCTGCACAAATATTCATTTTAAATCATTCTGGGCTGTACTTTGAAAGTGGCAACGATCTCAGGCTAATAAATTATGACAGAGGCTAAAAGTGGAAGCAGCTTTACAGAAAGGCAAACAAGCATTAAGAGTCAAGAACTGCATCAATATTTACAAGAACATGACGAGTGTAGTTGAACTACTGCAGTTGTTAAGTCTGAAGAAATAACCTACAGGAGAAGGTTCAACGCAGTTTGACGAAAATAATCACAGAAGTAACAGCTCTTAAATATTAAGAAAGTAGATCTAACTAAGCTTTAACACCAATAACTAGAAGACACTTATATCCTGATCATTTCATTAAAATAGAAATGCTACGCCTGCAAGTTGACTTTCCTGTAAGCTAAGACATGAAGTCCTCATCCAAAGTCTCCTAGAGAACATAAAATAAGTTTTAATGTCGAAGATGCTAAAACAAATTCTTTACTTATCTTTAAATGACAATTATGAAAACACACCAGGAGTAATTAGGGAAACCTTTAGAAACAGTTTACATTGTGTTGTCTCAATATCTTCAACATACAAGTGCGAATTGCCGTTTGGTATGCGGCAAACTGGACCATAACACAGGGCAACTTCACGGAACCCCCACACGGGGCCACCACACACCACGAAAGAAGTGGGTACAACATACTAAGTAATCAAACTTATTCCTGAATACGCTCGGTATGAGTTTCAACTTATCTTAGACCTGAAACATCGCACCACTACGAGGACATTATCTCTATCACTCCGTCACGCCTGCCATAGTTAACTTCAGGACTCGAGCGACGACTTTTTCTGCCACTGACACCGAAGTTCGGCCCCCGCCCCTTCCTTCAGCCTCTGAAAGGCGATACAAGATCTATACAAATTTAAACACGACTGTCCCAAGTAACATGTAAAACCACTTACCTGTACAAGCCGCAGAAAACCTAAACCATTAAGTGATCACAGGTTTCAAGGTAACAGTAGAGGAGGCTGTGAGGGAGGCTGTGAGGGCAGCAGTGTGGGAGGCTGTGAGGGAGGCTGTTAGGGCAGCAGTGACGGAGGCTGTGAGAAAGGCAGTGTGGGAAGAGTATGGGAGAGGCAATAAGTGGTGTGAAGAAGGATATGAGGAATGCTGTAAGGGAGGCTGTGAGGAAAGCAGTGAGAGAGACTGTGAGAGAGAATAAGAGAATGTTGATAGGAAAAGCTTCAGGAAAAAATGCAGGTGGAAAAAAATATTGGGGAGGTTTTGAGGGTAAATGAACGGATGGGCATGAGAGAGGGAGAGAGAGAGAGAGAGAGAGAGAGAGAGAGAGAGAGAGAGAGAGAGAGAGAGAGAGAGAGAGAGAGAGAGAGAGAGAGAGAGAGAGAGAGAGAGAGAGAGAGAGAGAGAGATAAGTGGTTCCAGTACCTTTACTGTGGTGGTGGGTTGCTGTGGTGGGAGGACCGTCTCCTGAGTCGACCTCGTTCTCCTCAGCGCCGAAGACTCCGTTGCTGTGAGCTTTGGGCGGCTCGATCTCTGTGTGAGGAGAGACGCCGACGTCAAGTGTGGCGGGAAGCTACTGGTGTGGCAGGAATATGCAGGTATGCTGGGAAAGTGCTGGTGTGGCGGATAGCTGTTGGTGTGGATGGAAGCTGCTGGTGTGGCGGGAAGTAGTAGGTGTGGCAGGAACCTACATATGAGGCAAAAAGCAACAGGTGTAGCAGGAAGCAGCAGATATGGCAGGAAGCAGCAGGTGTGCAGAAAACAGAAGGTGTGTCAGAAAGCAGCAGATGTGGCAGAAAGCAACAGGTGTGGCAGGAAGCAGTAGGTGTGGCGGAAAGTTGTAGGTGAGGCAGAAAGAAGCAGATGTGAGAGGAAGCAACTCACATACATACATATATACCTTCATACACTTGATGGCCACTTTATTAGGTACACCTTTCTAAAACTTGGTAGAGAACTACCCGCTACCCCCCCCCCTCCCTCCCCCACGACCACTTTTGTCCCCAGAACTGCCTGAAATCTTCGTGGCACGGATACAACTGTGTGCTGAAAACATTCCTTAGAGATCCTGGTCCATGTTGACATGATAACAATCACGTAGTTGCTGCAGATCTGTCTGCTGCTCATACATGCTGCAGATCTTCCGTTACATCGCATCCTAAAGGTTTACGACAAATTCTGACCACGTCATGTGCGTGTCGAAACAAATCGCGATTCGTCAGGCCAGGCGACGTTTTTCCAATTTTCAACCGCCCAGTTTTGGTGAGACTGAGCCCACTATTGATTCAGTTTCCTGTTATGAGCTAACAGGGGTCAAACTAGGTTCAACATGTTGTGCATTCAGAGATGATCTGCATACCAAAGTTGCAACGTGTGGTTGAGTTACTTTCACCTTCCTGAACCAGTTTGGCCATTGTCTTCTGACCTCTCTCTCATTAACAAGGCGTTTTGGCCCACAGAGATGCCGCTCTCTGCATGTTTGACGTTTTTCACACCATTCTTTGTGAATTCTAGAGAATATTGTCCTAGAAAAATCCCAGATCAGCAGTTTCTGTGATACTCATACCACCCCGTCTGGCACCAATCATTCCATGGGTACAATCACTTATATCACATTTCTGCCAAATTCTGATGTTTGATCTGAACGAGTGTGTGTGTGTGTGTGTGTGTATGTGTGTGTGTGTGTGTGTGTGTGTGTGTGTGTGTGTGTGTGTGTGTGTGTGTGTGTGTGTGTGTGTGTGTGTGTGTGTGTGTGTGTGTGTGTGTGTCGTGTTGAATTGGTAAAACATAGAAGTTTGGCTTAAATAGCAACGCTCTTCTTGCCGAGCAAGGCAATCGAAAATTTGTGTATGCAATAATTTTTAAAAATCATTCTGAACCTAACGAAAAAATGTATTTCATTGTGTTTCTTTATTATTAAATTATTTTAAACTATTGTGAAATATATTTAGTTGGATTAGGCTAAATTAAATTGCACTTGTTATAATAATGCTAGGTAAGTTTTCTAAGGTTCTTTTGGTACAAAATTATTAATATTTACATTAACAGAAATGAAAAATATATCTTTAAACGCTTAATTTTAAACGAGTTCCTACTAATTGACCAATTTTACCTATTCGGCACGAGATACACACACATACACACACACATACATATATGTATATTATATATATATATATATATATATATATATATATATATATATATATATATATATATATATATATATATATATATATATATATATATATGTCATGCCGAATACGTAAAACTGGCCAATTAGCAAGAACTCATTTAAAATTAAGTCCTTTCTAAAAATTTTCTTATACGTTTAAAGATATATTTTTTTCATTAATGTTAATGTAAATTTTTTTTAATTTTGCACCAAAAGAATCTTAGAAAACTTACCTAACCTTATTATAACAAGAGCAAATTATTTTAGCCTAACTCAACTAAATATATTTTAGATTTGTTTATAGTAATTTAATACTAAACTAACACAGTGAAATATATTTTTTTCGTTAGGTTCAGAATGATTTTGGCGAAATTATTGCATACACAAATTTTCACTTGTCCTATATAGAAAGATGAAAGTTGCTATTTAAGCCAAGATCGCAAATTCTGCCTATTCGGCATGATATATATATATATATATATATATATATATATATATATATATATATATATATATATATATATATTATATATATATATATATATATATATATATATATATATATATATATATATATATATATATATATCAAGGTGCAGACTAACTAGATATAAAATTTGAGAGGAGGATAAAAAATAAATAACATGATTTAAGGGTGATAAAAAGGTGAGTGCAGGTGAGTGGCTGAGGGGCCGCCGCTCCACAATGCCAACTCCGCCTTTACCACCAAACTGAGTTACCTACCTCGATGGAAGTCTGAATAAATTATGTAGATTGAAGAGTAATTGAATCTAGTTGTGCTAGACCCAAGGTAAAAAGGTAGCTCCGTGGCAGAAGGCTCTAAGACATTGATTTTATTACGGGACGGGAGGGAGAGTGGGGAGGGGGGAGGTTGTTCCTGGAAGGTCATCAATGAATTTTGAACCTTTTTCTTGACACACACTTTAAGGCAGGGGGGAGGTCATTTGAAGGAGGCTGAGACGAGGGCCTTGAGGAAGGAGGCGCTCAGAGAGCCTTCTGGCTCGAGTGCTTCCTTCTGACTCTTGATAAAGGAACTGTTCGAGGCAGAGGTGAGTGATGCACCGCGGACGTCGACGGGGGAAGCAGAATAGCCAACAACAAATTAAATTTTGGTCTATTGTCCCCGCAAAGTAACTAGAGTAGCAGTGAAAAGAAGGGGAAGAGAGAGCGAGGAGGAGATAGAGACGAGGAAGGAAAGTAACGAGACGATATGATGTAACAAAGTGAGATGTAACAAAGTGAGATGTAACAAAATGACGACAAGCTGTAACATAGTGAGATAAAGTAAGATGTAATAAAAGGAGATGTAACAAAGTGAGTGAGAGATTTAAGAAAATGAGGAGAAGCTGTACAAAGTGAGATGTAACATAGTAAGAGAAACTGAGATATAACGATGTGAGGAGGAGAGGTAAAGTAAGGAGCAGGAGTAACAAAGCAAGGAGAGGAAGAGAGTAAGAGACACAGAGAGGAGGGGAATACTCCTTAAATTTCGTTGAAAAATGTAACAACAAATGTAATGAGAGTAGAAGAAAAATTAACAAAAATAGTTAACGTAGACAAGTGATATATGGAGGAAGAGTGACACATACAACAGTGACACATACAACAGTGACACATACAACAGTGACACATACAACAGTGACACATAAACAGTGACACATACAACAGTGACACATACAACAGTGACACATACAACAGTGACACATACAACAGTGACACATACAACAGTGACACATACAACAGTGACACATACAACAGAGTGACACATACAACAGAGTGACACATACAACAGAGTGACACATACAACAGAGTGACACATTCAACAGAGTGACACATACAACAGAGTGACACATACAACAGAGTGACACATACAACAGTGACACATACAACAGAGTGACACATACAACAGAGTGACACATACAACAGAGTGACACATACAACAGAGTGACACATACAACAGAGTGACACACACACAACAGAGTGACACATACAACAGAGTGACACATACAACAGAGTGACACATACAACAGAGTGACACATACAACAGAGTGACACATACAACAGAGTGACACATACAACAGAGTGACACATATAACAGAGTGACACATACAACAGAGTGACACATACAACAGAGTGACACATACAACAGTGACACATACAACAGAGTGACACATACAACAGAGTGACACATATAACAGAGTGACACATACAACAGAGTGACACATACAACAGAGTGACACATATAACAGAGTGACACATACAACAGAGTGACACATACAACAGAGTGACACATACAACAGAGTGACACATACAACAGAGTGACACATACAACAGAGTGACACATACAACAGAGTTACACATATAACAGAGTGACACATACAACAGAGTGACACATACAACAGAGTGACACATACAACTGAGTGACACATACAACAGAGTGACACATACACCAGAGTGACACACACAACAGAGTGACACATACAACAGAGTGACACATACAACAGAGTGACACACACAACAGAGTGACACACACAACAGAGTGACACACACAACAGAGTGACACATACAACAGAGTGACACATACAACAGAGTGACACACACAACAGAGTGACACACGCAACAGAGTGACACACACAACAGAGTGACACACACAACAGATGACACACACAACAGAGTGACACACACAACAGATTGACACACGCAACGGAGTGACACACACAACAGAGTGACACACACAACAGAGTGACACACACAACAGAGTGACACACACAACAGAGTGACACACACAATACAATGACACACACAACAGAGTGACACACACAACAGAGTGACACACACAACAGAGTGACACACACAACAGACTGACACACACAACAGAGTGACACACACAACAGAGTGACACACACAACAGAGTGACACACACAACAGATTGACACACACGACAGAGTGACACACACAACAGATTGACACACTCAACAGAGTGACACACACAACAGATTGACACACACAACAGAGTGACACACACAACAGATTGACACACACAACAGAGTGACTTTACCTCTGCAGAGGACCTAAATCTGCAATCAAATTAATATCCACCAGGACGATGACACATCCCCAAAGCAGCTCGCCCCCAAACTGCTAGCAAATTCGCTAACTTCTTGAAGAAAGTCAACGATGCCCTGGCAAACAACGGATCCTTTCACAACTTACTGCTATTTGTCAATGCCCGTCTGGCTGTCCCACCAAGGAGAGACAAGTGACTAGAAACGACTGTTATTAGGGCAATAAATGGATTCCTTAGAGATGATAACCTCGTCCGTCTCCCCTCTAGGGC